CGACTCTCACCGCAAACAAGACGACTGACAGCTATCTAGGGAGATGACGCATCACGCTAACTGCACGTGGAACACAGACCTAGGCTTAGGTCAAGACAAATGCGAATACCACCTCATTGACAAGGTTACCACAGAGCCACCCATACTGTACAACATGGTGCACCCGCTTAGCTACACATATAGTGGGAATGATGACTCACAACACACTAATAGATTATTTCGAACACACTACAAGGTACAGGCCACTACCTGACGTAATACCCGTGTAGACTAACCATGGGAGACCCACTGCCGACGCCCATCCGGACGTAGAAACCGGCGGTACGGCTCTGAATATCTACCCAGTTACATGGAGCCTTCCCATATTGGGAGCGGGAATACAATCAAACACCACTTACACTAACACACACACGGCAATAGAAGGGGAGGAGAACAGCCACGTCTGACCCTTGGACACAAAGGGGAGGCGAACACTTACACCCGACCTCTAGCACCCCACGACAGGAAACACAACACACAAACACCACCCCATGCTACCCCTACCCTATCGTACCTTCCCTGATCACCCGTACCATCCCAGGAGGGGGCTCGCCGGGGCGCGTCCGGGCCGACCCGTAGGAGAGTGCTCGTGACGCCCTCCCAGTCCTGAGGGCAGGGACGGCGGAGCTGACCCATTCGGTAATGCAGGGAACACGAATGGCATATACACCGTCACCCTTAGTGGTGCACTCCCAAAATTGTAGAGGACTTAACATTCCGGAAAGAAGGTCGCACCTCTTGCGCAGTCTCAAACAACAACATGTGTCAGTGGCAATGCTCCAAGAAACGTATCTCAGACCAGATACAAACAAACTACTCAAAGATAAAACGTATCCAACAAATTACTATAGTAACCACCCAACGGCACGTAAAGCTGGAACGGCAATCCTTCTGGCATCACACCTACAATTCAATCCAACGGACACGCTATCGGATAGGGGAGGCAGATTCCTCTTCGTCAAGGGTGAGATAGCACGGAAGGTGTATACCTTCGCCACGGTATACACACCCAACAGTGGCCAAGCCAGCTTCCTCAGGAGAACACTGACGAAGTTATCCCGATTCACGGAGGGCACCCTTGTACTGGGAGGTGATCTTAATGTCCCACTGGATCCTAGGGTGGACACCTCTAAGGGCCATAGCAGTGTACCAACAGCGGCACTAAAGACAGTGCACAAAGCCCTCAGGGACCTGAGGCTGGTAGATACATGGAGAGCATTCAATCCAGAGGGAAGGGACTACACGTACTACTCCACTGTCCACGACAGATACTCCAGAATTGATTATATCCTGGTGCAACAAGAGGGACTCACGTACGTACAGAAAACAGCTATCCTCTCCACGACATGGTCGGACCACAGCGCGGCACAGGCAACCGTGGCTTCACCCCTGTTCAGACCGACTAAAACGGCTTGGAGGCTAAACGACTCCTTGCTGACGGACGTGACGACGAAGGAGAAGATCGCAGAACACCTAAACCAGTACTTTGAGGAGAACAACACGGACGACGTGACACCCATGTCGATCTGGGAAGCACATAAAAGCGTGATCATTGGCCACCTTATCCGCACGGCCACCCAACGAAAGAAGGAGGCCGGTCAGCAAATCAGGGAGCTCGCACGACAAATCTCAGATTTGGAAACGGCACACAAACTGGATCAACAAGAACAGACCTACAGGATACTGATAGCGACCAGAAAACAGCTGGCAGAGATTCTAGAATGCAGACATGCAAGAACAATACAGCGTTCGTGCGCCTTCTTCTACACACACGCCAACAAGGGAAGCAAACTCCTAGCACAGATGCTGAGGGGCACACAGAGCAGGGCACAGGTACAAGCAATACGTACCACACACAACCGTACCACACAATTTCCGGAAGAAATCGCGAATGAATTTAAAAGGTTTTACACTAAACTGTACAATACAAACGAGGACGAAGGAGATCCCCCAAGGGCCGCAAAACAGAGAGACACGGCAGAATACCTGAGGAATTTCCAACCGAAAGCCCTCACACCGGAAGAGGCAGAGGAACTCGAAGCTCCGATCACCTAAGGGGAAATCCGACTAGCACTGAAAGAAGCGAAAACAGGGAAAGCACCGGGCCCAGATGGCTTCCCGGTGGAATATCTTAAGAAATTCGGACACACCCTCGTACCACATCTCACCAGAGCCCTGAACAGCCTGAGGGAAGGCACAGCCTTCCACAGAGAGACTCTGGCCGCAACAATAGCGGTGATCCCGAAGCCGGGAAAGAACACCGAACAGGTCGGAAACTACCGCCCAATCTCACTCCTCAATATGGACGTCAAGCTGTTCTCGAAGGTCCTGACTAAAAGACTACAAAGGCACATGGCTAGACTAATACATCCAGACCAGACGGGCTTCATACCTGGCCGAGAGGCCAGGGACAACACCCTAAGGTTATTCGCCATACAACATCTATCAAAGAAAATGGGAACGAAGCTACTACTGCTGTCGACAGACGCTGAAAAAGCCTTAGACAGAGTAGACTGGCACTTCATGACGGAGACACTACGCGTGACAGGCATTGGAAACGGCATGCTCACATGGATCACAGCACTATACAACCAACCGACTGCCAGGATTCGAGTAAATGGGGCACTCACAGACAACTTCAACACCAAGAATGGCACGAGACAGGGTTGCCCGCTGTCACCCCTACTGTTCGCCCTCACTTCTAGACTGGATCAGGAAAAATGAAAGTATAATGGGCTTTAGACACGGAACACACGAACACAAAGTGGCCGCATACGCGGATGACATGCTATTTTTTTCTCGAGCACCCACTAACCTCCGCCACACAGTTAATGTCGGAATTCAAAACATATGGACGTTTGTCTGGACTCAAATTGAACTTGACGAAATGTGAAATCTTAAACGTCACCGTCCCTGAGGAAGAATGCGCTCAGATCAAAAGGCAATATCCCTTCCACTGGTGCCCAAGCCGAATGAAATAACTCGGGCTGTGGGTCATACGCGAGGCCAAGGACATCTACGCCCAAAATCACATACCCCTACTGAAGACCATTCTCGGGGACCTCAAAAGATGGCACTACCCCCACATATCTTGGCTGGGGAGAATTGCAGTGATAAAAATGAATGTTTTACCTAGGCTACTCTACATATTTCACACAGCCCCACAGGCGATTCCGCAGGCATTTTTCAGGACACTTAAAACAGCAATCACACAATATATTTGGAGAGGGGAGAAGGCCCGCTTTGATAAGCTCTGCCTACCAAGAAGCTGGGGAGGGTTAGCCCTGCCCGACATTAGAAAATATCACCAGGCCACGGCACTGCAGAGGCTGAAGGAACTTCACACAGACACACCCGACAGAAGGTGGGTAACGCTCTGGAGGGAATCCACCGAGAAAAGACTGCACACACTGATTTGGCACAGAGAGGCAGACGCACACATAATATTGGGAGAGGACTCCCCACTCACACACACTCTGAGACACTGGAACAAGTTGAGGAAAGGACAGCAGATCTCACCCAAACCGAGCCCGCTGATACTGATCACGTACAACCCCAACCTGGGAGACAGCCTCCCGCCGACGGCTTGGCCGATGGAGCACCGAGACGGATACATACCTATCTACGCAACCCTAAGCAACACGGGAGTGAAACCACTGCGAGACATATTGGAAGAGAGACCACACACACTAATGCACCAATTCCATTACGCCCAACTGACCCACTACTACCACAACCTACCACATAGAGCCAAAATACACAGGGACCTCATGTGGTTCGAGAACCTATGCACTCAGACAACAGAGAGTGAAGGGAGGGTCTCCATGATATATCAAAGCATTCTGACAGGACATAGAACAGAAAACACCCTATACAAAAGGCAGTGGGAGGAATGGACAGGTGAATCTTTTGCGGATACCCAGTGGGAAAAGATCTTAATACTACAACACAAAAGCTCCACTAGCTCCCACTACCAGGAGGTAAACTACAAGCTTCTTACACACTGGTATCGCACCCCCTCCCTGATAAACCGCTACGCACCAACCATTCCGAACATGTGCTGGAGATGCGGAGACGGCCCCGGAACCCTGAAGCACATCTGGTGGGATTGCGATAAAATTAAACCGTACTGGGAGAACATTGAACAGGAAATAGAACACATCCTAGGAGACCCTATAGACCTGACAATGGGAGCGGCCCTCATACACCACACGGAATGACCCATACCCTCTTACAAAAAGTCAATCCTGAGACACCTGCTAAATGCGGCTAAATCCCTAATCCCACTGCACTGGAGGGAAGAATATATACCCACAATAGAACAATGGAAGAATAAAGTAGACGACATAAGAAGGGCAGAAGCCAAAATAGCAGAAACAATAGGCAAGGAGGAAAAACATACAGAATTATGGACACCCTGGATATTGTACATCGCTTAAGACAGGACACAGAAAGAGTACACCCAACCGGGAGAGCCGGAATGAGCGCAGGAGGGGGCCCAGACGCGACACAGAGTGAGACAGACACCCTCCTTCCCTCTCCACCTCCCCCCTTCCCTCCTCCCCCCCTACTTCCCCTCCCTATCCTCAAAGGGAGAAGACCTTCACACACACATAATATGAAGGAATGTGGAGAAAAAGGAGACATTTACACTAGTAGCAGATATTAATCACGAATAGAACAGAGAGACACGAACTCCAAAGTGGAGGACACATAACAAACATCGCAACCATGGAGCACACAAAGCAGCAACACACACAAGTAACACATGCTGAGCGACCACAGACATAATAGCAAATAAACTAAAAATCAAAAACAAGACAACATAACTCTTTACACCCAAGTATAAACCTAGACACACGACAAATATGAAAATAAAGAAAGAAAGTAAAAAGCTTACACTCAACAAAGTCACAGGACAAGGGAAAAGGATAAGTAGTAAGGAGACATGAAACAAACGTTCAGATATGCAGAAGGAACAGACATGACATCTGATGACAGAACTGCGGGCACGCGACAAAACGAGAACTCAGGCCCACACATACTAATCCTACCATAATCAGACAAACACCAAATAATGATTGAATAACTCTGACACGTAAACAGCAATAGAGGGACTGAACAGAGTCTGGAAAGTCTCCCGCCCCAACGCCCATGATCAGGTTAACACCTGGGTAAACAGTGAGAATTGGTGAATTCAAAAACCATAGCTGTAACACTAGAAATTACCAGGGACCTGCATGTCCGGCAATATTGTTGGCCAGCGAGCCCGAGAACGTTCCCACACGTCATGCTACCTACGCTAATGAATGGTGCTCATGCTATTGTAGATCATGATATGTCTCTTGGGACCTGCGAGTCCTATTTTTTCTCGACTTTGACAACACAAATAAAATAGATTTACAAAAAAAATAAAAAATAAAATAATATTTAATCATATCGCACATTAATGTATAGTTTATGTCAGACAGACATGTGTAATATGTTCCGTTCTGAATCTGATTTTGTCTGAATTCGGTCAAATTCAGAAATCTGGAAATGTCCAAATTTCCGAATTGATGGAAAAACTAAAAAAATATTTTTGGATCCATTAGTTTTGACTAGGATAGCAAATTAGGGAGTTATCTACTAAACATCTGTAAGTGAAAAACTGAGAAGAGTGCTTTTCTTAATTCTGATATATTACAAGTTTAGTAGATAATCCCCTAAATTGGTACTTTGTAAATTTATGACTGGCACTTTCATTCATTCCCCATATGTAATTATGCTAATCTAGGGGGGAGGGGTTAGAAGAGTTTCGATACATACCTATTTAGGGGTTTAAATAAATGTCCCTTTCCGTCTCATTAGAGATGTTACCTTCTAGCTAAAGAAAGCAAGGTGAATTGTTAATGTAGGACTCTCCTAAGAGGATTTGCCTTGACGTGGCAGGTGAGCTTACACTTAAATGACCTTTGGAGTGATGCCGAAGACCCCCATTTATATAAATATGTGCAGGGATTTGGGAAGAGTTCAGGTAACTCATTTCTTTGGTTTTTATTGTATGTATTAGGGCTGATGTGTACTATGGTCATTGCTCCAACCAGAAGCAGTCGGAGCTTGAGCGCAGGACTTATATCTGTATATTAATAATGGGAATCTGTATTTTAAAATGTAATCAAATTTTGGTTGAATTTCAGTTGTTCTGAATCATTATTTTTCCAAATTTGGCACAAATGAAATTAGAAACCGAATGAATCCTACTCAAACAAAACAACGTTATCCCCATGCACACCTCTAATGTCAGGGTACCTTGCTGTTAGTCAGTACCTACCTTGTATCTCAGGGTATTTCAGTGTTATGAGCATTCCGTGTCTGAGTGTAGCCGTAACAGCCTCTATTCCAGCTATAAACAGGTTGTGAATAATCATTATAAGATTCATCTCAATAAAATCTGTGTTTGGATCATTTTTCTCCTGTAAAAACAGACATGATCTATATTATCATTGTAATAAATGCCAATACAAACTATTATGTACTACTCCAAATGTAAACACACGGGGGTACAGTTATAAACTTTAATTTGACTCCAGTCTTACACATTATTATCCAGGTGATTGGACACAAATAATTTGAGTTGAAACATTGCCTGCTGTATTCAAAAAAGCTTTGTTGAATGTACCATTGAGTTGCAGGACCTTTCTTTTGCTTAAATGCGCTAATGATGGCAATTTCGAGGTTGATGTTTACACACAGCCGTGGGTATTGATGATGCTAATAAGTGAGAGATATATCATTAAAGGGACTCTCCAGTGCCAGGAAAAACAAACCGGTTTTCCTGGCACTGCAGAATCCTGTAGTACCCCCCTCCCTCCCACTTCCCATCCCATGTTGCTGAAGGGGTTAAAACTCCTTCAGTGACTTACTTGAATCCAGCGCTGATGTCCCCCGGCACTGGGTCAGGCTTTGCCCAAGCTCCTACCGCACACGCGCATTAGACCTCCCCATAGGAAAGCATTATTTAATGCTTTCCTATGGGGATTCCGGCAATGCTGGAGGTCCTCATGCATAGCGTGAAGATGTCCAGCACGTTTGAACACTTTTTGTGTTTTAAGAACCGGGAAGTCCCTCTAGTGGCTGTCTGGTAGACAGCCACTAGAGGAGGACTTAACCCTGCAATGTAATGATTGCAGTTTTTATAAACTGCAATCATTACAGTTGCAAGGTTAAGGGTGATGAGAGTTGGCACCCAGACCACTCCAATGGGCAGAAGTGGTCTGGGTGCGTGGAGTGTCCCTTTAAAGGACCATGCCATAACCAATATAATGTACTGTAGTGGATATGGTGACAGGAATATTCTGGTACCTCCCATTTTTGTAAGTAGTCAATCCACACCTCCTCTCGCTCAGCCAGGAGAATTGGAAGTTCACCTGAGCAAAGATGTTCAATGCAGGGGGAGCTAATTGGTTTATCTCAGACAGAGAGTTTCCAGTTCTCCTGTAGGCAGTAGTGGAGATGGGGAGCTGCACTCAGTGAACCCCAGGTAAGAAGCCAAACCATTCTAAAATGTACATTACTCTGGGCAATAACCACTATAGGCACCATAACCACTACAGTGCACTGAAAAGAGTTGATCATTTTTCTTTGGAAAGATTGTGATCTCTGGAATGTTAGTGTTTAAAGTAAGGTATACACCTCATTTTCATTGATCTGGTAATGATCAAAGTGTTTTCAGAATGTATCCTTGGATTGTGATTGATTGGATATTAATTGCTCATCGACAATCATTAAAATGTCAGTAATTTCTAACTTAACATTTTGATTGACCTCATGATTTCAAAGCTTGAATGAAAATCTTAATTTAATATACCTCCAAATTATCCATATCTACGAGACCTCCCATTTAGAAAGTATCACTCCAAATCATCACCCTAGTGTTGAATATGAAACTACTGAAAATATTTATGTATTATGACTATTGCTTATTATTATTATAATTAGTAGTAGTAGTAGTAGTAGTAGTACTTATATATGATAATTCTGTATTAGTATCTCATTAATATATGTAACTCTTCCTTTAACTCCTCCTATTAATGTATATAACTCATTCTGCTACTCCTTATGCCATAAACTCCTTCCCAAAACCAGGGATTGGTGCCAGAATGTTAGGGG